ACTCCCAATCCAAACGTAGGATTAATTTCCTACGCAAATGAAAATTGACTGTATATCTCCAGACCATAGTGGAACCCTCGCAAACGGGCTCTGTTTGGCAACTTCGGCCAAAATAGATCAGCCTTGTTTTATTTCTTAATTAGGTCAGAATTGGTCCTAGGGTATGGGGTAAATCAATTCTAGTTTGGTTAAGAGGACAGAAATGAACTAACATAAGTTAGGGTCAACTCTGGCCCAACTTTTTGCCAAATATAAAAAAACACTAAAACTGGACCACGTTTGAACCTAATCCAATTTTAGTAGTTTGTCAAATAGGCCAGTGTTTTTCAAGAATCGTGAAAACTCAGTAATACGCTACCATCTTAGAATTTATACAAACATAAACGTTTGCAAACAACAGAGAGGCTTCCAAACAGTGAACAACTCTTGAAACGTTTCAACCGTTTCAAACAGAGAGCACCTTACAGGTGCCGTTTGCAAACATAGTTCCACTTAAAACGGGTTTAGAGCAAACGAATAGTAAAACAACTGCTATTGCATTTGCATACATCTCAAACTTTTTTGGGCTACTTATCATGGGAAATAAAAATAGTTGCAGCAAATGTATTAAATATCGAATACTAGATAAATATCGGACAACCAAAATTCGTATTGGATTGTAGAAATTGGGGTTATATAATGAACACGTAAAAAAATTATCAGGTGTCATATCGGGTGATGTTCATACATGACATAGAATTGCCATATATAACCTATTAATGAATTCTAGAGATAAGAAATTGCATCATGATATATGTTCCGAGTTTGGACGAGCTATAAGTGGAGAGATTTGGGAGACAGATTGTGGCTTTTGCGGCTTTTGTGAGTTCGAGTTTGAGTTTTTTTTTTTCACTACTGATGAAATAACTACAATTTCCAGACTAATCAATCCTCTTGACCATTCATGAACCAAGATAGATCACCCCCATTTTACGCGGTGGTATACTAGAAATTTTCAATCTACTTGTACTGCAATTATACCAAACGATACTGGAAAAGAGAAGAGAAAAAGCCCAAAAACAAAAGGCCCAACAATTTTACTAGGCCGAGCCCATCCAGAAACTACCACACAATTCCGCCACTCTCCTTAAATACGACACCCGACGAATCCAAAACACCCCCCAATCGAGAAAAGAACCGACCGAAATGTTCTTCTTCTTCGTTGGGGCTTTGGAGCAGCAAGCGGGTCGGATCCTGAAACCCAATCGTGGCCGCTGCGTCCGCTGCGGATCCGTCGCCGATCTCGTCGAAACAGAGAAGGTACTCAAGCTCTTCTTCGTCCCCGTATGGCGATGGCCGCCGAAAGATCCGGCTACTGCTGCCGCGACTGCTCGTTCTCTTCCCGAGTCCTTCCTTTTAACCGGCGACGATGGCGGCGTTGGCGGCCGCTGCCGCCGGCTGCTCGCGCGCGCTTGCGTGTCCGTACTGTGACCGGGTTGTTGAGAGGGAGTTCCGATTTTGCCCCTTCTGCGGGAGTGCGCTGTGATGGGATGAGCTCCTCGATTCGGAGGGGCATGCTGTAAATAGAAGAATGGAGTTTTTAGAGGAGGAGTTTGTAGGGGTTTTGGATCTGCGTTGTGCTTTTGAAATGCTTTGGTTTGGTGTAGAAATGTAATAATTTCATGTTAAAGTCGAGGGTTATGATATGATGCAAGTTAGGACGGTGATAATTTCTTGCATTTTAGTTTAACTTTTACTAGTGTGCACGTTTGCACGGCCCTTTTTTTATTAATTTTTTTTAAACGTCATAGTAAGTAGTGACTGCCCGTGTTTTTTCAAAATACTACAGTAATTTTTTACAGTAATATTTCTATAACAATAAAGTTATAGTAATTTATTATAATATTTACTGTAGCATAAATAATAAATCTTTGTTATACTTTAGTATAATGGGTATAATGGAGCAGTGATAACATACAGTGCGCCCCTTTTGTAACCTCCAATGAGATATCGAAGAAGATGTCATTAACACGCACCATTTTCATGACCATGGCTTTAAACCTTCCACCCTCTACGGATTTTCACCGGGATAACCTGTATTTCTCATGACCTAAGAGCGACACTTTTATCCCTGCCCTACTTGAAAAGTCAATGCTAATAATATACTGATTTTTACCATTTGTGTATAAAACTACAACGCATAGACAACAACTGAGCCTCTTTCTTCTATAAAACTGGACATATCTCGAGAAATCACGGTCGCATAATTTTTTTTTTAAAAAAAAAATGAAGACCCTTTGCGGGGCAACAGGTGACTCTATCATCAGAAAATAAGGAAGTTATCGTAGGAGATTGTCATGCAACAAGTAGATCGTCAATATCTTACTCTCTTGAGAATAGACGTTCATGAACCACACATGCAAACAAGCACAAAGAAAGAAACAGACGGCCGAAATGCATTTCATGACAAAAACTGAAACTAATCACAACCAATTACAATACAACAAGAAGCGATGATGAGCAAAGCCACTCAAGGCTTGAATGATATAATTGATTTACATACCAAGCCAGTTCTCTTTCAACAACCTCCCTTACCAAATTTATAGGCCCTCACCTTGTTCTCGAGCAACAGAAGTTGAGAGGATGGTAAGACTCCGGTTTAGAAATGTCAATGCCGATTCACAATCCATAATGATTTTGGTAATCGAAGAAGGTTCATCTGTTGTTGAAACGGATCCAACAGCCATAGCTGCGTGAGATTCGCGAAGGCTCCTAAGGTTTCCCAGGAACTGCGAGAAGAGCAAATAATCAGACATATCAATCTTATCTAAGAATCTCCATCCAATGGGATCTTGCATTGCATAAAGCCACTCTTGAACTTCGTAAAACAGAGAACTGAACTTCGAAAATCACACTGCACCCTAAGGAACTATTGGAAAATGTATATGTGTCGTAAAAGGTCTACAAATGTGTTTGGTTGTCGTGTCTTGTTCTTCCACAAAAATGTTCGACGTTAAAATTTTCATCACAAATCTTGGTTTGTCATAATTCAAGCTTATAACTCTATTCTGCAACATCATTATGACATTTTTCAATAAATTGAGGGGAGGAACTGTAGAATTTCAAAAGGTGAGGAGGTTTTTCTTTGATTTATTACGTCAGGGGGGTTTTCTGTAACCCCCCTAAAGTTACAAGGGGTTTTGTAAAATTTACTTAGCCTGCTTGCAGATATCTACCGCCAAACCTGCTTGCAGATATCTACCGCCACTTCGTATATCTTGAATTTGAATATATCTTAGGTGTTAGGGTTTAGGCACTTGTACATACCTTCAAAAGCGTGTTATAAGCCTCCAACAAACGATTGGCAGCTGGTCCAAAGCCATGCAACTGAGGTACCTCCATCATGTGTGTCCAAGGTCGAATTTCCTACACCAGATACAAATAAAAAGACATTGGGAGGGCGAAAAAAGATGTTAAGATAAAGACTGACTAAGAAATTCTAATAATAAGCCCATGAAACAATCGTAAATCCATAATATTCATGGTGTAGATTTCAGCTTAAACATTTTGCTTATAATTGAAAATTTTGCATAAAACAAAGAATGTAGGTGGTACACTGTTAGATCTTTTTACTTTATGTAAATAATGCCATTTGCCAATTTCCTTAGCACAAATAATAGATTTAAAGAACGCTATACATCGTCAAGGAAAGTAGGGTATAGTACCTTGGTATATATTAAATTAAAAGACTTCACAGTTTCCAGAAAAGACTCCAACTGAGCCCGGAGCTTTGATTCTGTTTCTGCATACTCTTCGTCAGGATTGTAAGGGTACTGTTGAGAAACACCAAAGATGATATTTAGAATGGAAAATTACTGACAGATCATTACTGAATTGTAACTGTGCCAAGTAATAATAATCCAGACTCTATAAGGGTTTTACGAGGTATTATTTCCACAATATGTAGATATGGAAAATAGGAATCTATGATTGACACAAGACATAGCAAAAAATAAAACAGATATAATTCATTGAAATTGACTCAAAACCAGTATCATCCAATAACAGAATCTGACTATGCTGAGAATCACTAGGTCAAACATAATTAAGTACTTAGTTGCGGGTTGGGCAGAAAACAACAGGGGGCAGGAAAAAACATAACAGAAGTAGCCAATTACAGAGCAGTGATGCCTTGAAACACGACTACCATTATCATATAAATGACTAGAGACACAAAGATAAGAAAACAAGATTGGGATTCGGTTTGCATTCAACAAGGAAAAGGAATTGTTCCCAGGCATCTTTTTCGTCTCTGCCTCATAAAGTATAAATAATACAACAGTTGGATAAAATCATAAAAATAGCTATAAAAGTTTTAGCTATAAATTTTTTTTTATCAAAGATAGTCTTTACACACGTTTACTGGGAATGGTAGTGTCATCAGGACTAATTTGGTCAGAAAGGTCACCGGAGAAACACAGGGCAATAATGTTTACGGTCATAGTTAAGATAGCCTGGAGAAAGTCTATTCAGAATCATCTCATAAACAAAATAAAAATATACAAAAAAAGTTCAGCTTGTAAACTACAGGCATGCAATCTGCTATCGGGATGCGGATGAATTCATTAATGGTCTAAAGTGGCTGCACTATCAAGGTCATAGTATTATTCAGATGTATTGCTTGCAGGCTAGAATATGTTGGGTCCATTATCTAACCTTTGATGCCAGCTCCTGGACCATCTGCTGCAAATTTGACAGTTTCTTTGTATGCTCCGAGAGTTTTGACTGCAGTTCAGAGATGTCAGGCCTGCAAAAGGTTTATACTTACTGTAAATTACAACTAGTTAAGGATTAATTATACTACTTTACAACGATAAAGCAAAACAGGACAATTTTTTCATGTATTAGAAAATTCCTAAGCCAAAACAGCAAAACACATAATGATAAATCTCAATGACAAACTACAAGTCTACAAGAGAAGCTCTACAAAAGGTCAGTACATAAGAGTCTGGAGAAAGAAAACAGAATTGTTCACTTAAAAACTATAACATATCCCAAACCTGACCACAACCATAACTTATATCGAATGTGAACTGAAGAATTCAAGAAGCTTTCTTCTTTTCTATGCAGCTATTCAATGCCACATCATGTTTGAATATGATTTTTTTTCAAGGAAAAGTAGTGTTTTAGCCCCTTCGGATTTTCTT